AATTGTACCGTAAATTTGTTAGTGGGATTAAGCATGTAACTGGATCCTTAGCAGTTTCATATTGTATGTTAGAGGAAGCCATCTTTCAAATGGTTGTTCTTGAACTACTCCAGTTTCATTACAGAGAGCAAGAATTATTTACCTAGAATGTAAATCAGTGTAAGGCAGATTAATGACTTGGAGAGAGACTGGAAAATATTGACATGTTGACAGCTACCCCTCTAGCACACAAAAAACATTGGAGCTCGGCCTCCAGAAACAGTAATTTACATAAAAATGCATAATGCTTTGGTAATTGGACTACTGTAATACTGCACGAAGTTGGAAGGTGTTCTGTTTTGAGGGCACAGAAATTCAAAAGGTGTCCTGCTTAATGAGCCTCCAGCGAAGACGGTGAAGGTGCGAAGGAAATTGAGACAAGACTAAGCCGTTGGGAAAGATTTGAGGAGACATTTGTTTTAAAATTATCAAGAAATGGGGGGAAGAAGGTATAGCGGGGGGAGGGGAGATAAATTAGGTTGATAAATATGTGTACTTGGGAAGCATGTGGAGTAAAATGGCAAGATCCAAAGTAAGATAAATGAAAGAATTAGAAAATCTTCCAAGTGTTATCATTTAGCTGAAAGTTTATTATAGAATAAAGATAAAGAATGTAAAATTGTGATACACAGTATGAATTTTAAAAAGATGCTGTTATGGAGCAAAGATATGGGTATGTAGTAAAGGGAATGTAAACTAGTTGATGTTGAGATGAAATTCCTGAGGCCAGTAATGGGGAATACCAGGAGAGAGTTAAAGACGCGTACCTGATCGTTTTAACCAAATTAAAAAATAATTTAGATGCTATTGAGTTCAAATTCATTGAATTATCAGAATTAAATTTCGTAAAAGATGAATAGTTTTCTTAATTCTCTGTCCACAGCAGGTAAAGGTGTGTTGAATTTGTTCAGTCGTATTTCATCGTATCATTGCCCTCTAGCTTGTGAAAGGACCATCATTACAACTCTGTCTTTCTTTTGATCCTTCCAGCCTCTGTTACATTTGTGTATTGGTTTGTAGTTTATTGGATGATTCTGTATTAACTGCAAGATGTGTATGGGACATTCACTGGATGACATATGACCTCTGTACCTCTGGTCTTACTTTCGTGTTTTGTGTATGTTCACAGAGACACTGTTGGCTGATGGTGAATGTCCCCAGGACATCAAGGGAAATGTGGCTCAGGCTGGTAAACATTGTATGTTTGCGTACAAGAGGATAGATGCAAAAATTGCCTGGCCGAGAACATCGTCGCCACACTAGGAAGCTGCAGCAACCACACCATGGCTTGCCAACTTTTGTCATATCTTGCCATGTAAAATACTGCTGCATGTGTTGAACTGAATTCAGTGTTGGGAGTTCTGATGGTCTTGGCTCGTTAAACGTGACAAGATGGTCGACTTCGAAACTTCAGGCTTGCCAATATCAGTGTTCGCTGTGACTTGCCAAGTATTACTATCTGAACGTAGAAACTGGTATTACATCCATATTTTCAGTATTTAGTATAAGTGGATTCGTCCCCAGATCCAGCAGCTAAACGAAGTTGGCCAGATCTCCTACACTCTATTTTAGTTTTTGTATAAATAGGAGACTGCGTTTACATTGTGAATAAATCTGGGGACAGAATTGTCAAAATGGTTTTAAAAATGCTGAAAAGTCTCAGAAAGTATTATTGCAACCACTTGAAAAAAATATCGTAATTTATTAATTGTATTTAGTCATGCATAAGAAATTAAACTGATGTTTATTTAAGATGCCGTTTACGTTTCTAAAGCAGTGAGAGTTGTGACAACGTTTAAGTTTGAACACTGAAGCAGCTTTCAAGATGGCAGGCTCAATATTATTAAAAAAAAAAAAGGGAAGTGTATATAGTTTGGTAAGATTCGTTGTTTAGACTGTGATTGGAAAATTACTTTCCACCAGTTTTCCTCATCGTCTTGCAGGCCTGTGTACTCTGCTCCTTCTAGATTATGTTACGCTCATATTCCATATGTAATTGTTTTGTGGGATTGTTTGTGAGACGCAAATGAAGTATTGCCCTCAGATGTTTATAGTCGTGTCGGGCGCACGTTACTTCGTGTAACTTGGTTCAGATGAGGGTAACTGAATGGATTCTAAACAGGCCTGTTGATTCTTGGCGCTTTGTTATTTATCACACTAGCTATTTACGTGCTTGGTTCCTTTACAAAAATGATAAAGCCAAATAGAAAACTACAAAACGTAATAATAATCTTTTCAAACTCTCCTCGGGGAATTTTTGGGGTATGCTTAATATGTTTTTGGCTTTGGATAGAGAGGTTCTGAAACACCTGACTAGATTTCATTGATATTTAAGGGGCCTTAAAACTGTAGTAGCGTATTCCAACCATGACTTTTTCAATCCACGTGTTTGTAAAATATTTTTCTGCTCCATTCTGCAGCATGACCACTTTTTCTACTAATATGCTAGTCATGAAGCAGTCGATTGAACTGAACCTTAAGTAACGTCTCTCGTCTTTACAACGCTGCTCACAATGTTTACATACTCCATACTTCTAAGTATTAGACTATAATTAAGCTGTTTGTAAGTTTTTAATTCATGTAAAAATTGTTTTGTTTTCTTTCAGTTTGTTCACATCACTTAATATAATTCATCGTGTATCTTAATTGTCTTTTGTAATTAAACAGAAAGTGTTTTCCTAGGTCACATCTTGTTGAAGTTTCATTGTACCTGATTCGTAAATTTGCTGGTCTCATTTCTTCAGTCAACTTTTGTACCTTTGTAATTTATTACAGACGCATGAACACACTCATTTTTAAACCTGGATTATGGCTTTTATTTTGTGTCTGAACTTCGTACATTTCATTATGTGTTTCAGCTGGGGAAAGTGAGTAACATTTAAATAATATAATGAGGATTGTTTCACAATGCAGTGCGCTAATGAAGAGGATATGGTGTGCAAGTGGTAAAAAAGGCACAGTTGTTCCATAATATTTTGTTTGGCGCGTTCACAGAACTTCACAAATTTTTTTTGTTGGGTTTTATGTTCTTCCCCC